AGTATTCTGAAGAGAGAAATGTTGACATTTTAATTAACGCCAAACAACTCTTTTTTTTAAATAATCCTGTAGAAAACAAGCATTGTCAGAATTAATGTAAGCATGATAAAATATAAATATATTTTTTCTTAGTGCAAACTTGTATCTTCTTGAAATTTTATTCAGGTGTCCACAGCAAAGGTGAGAGGGTAGCTTGAATCTGACCCCACAATTTATAGGTGTCAGTGCACATGCAGAATTACATGAATAATTGCAAGTCTCATGATGGTATATGAAACACCTACATAATTAACAAGTTACCAGAATTTTTTTGGTATCAACAAAATGTTTCTAGATCGTATCACTCAAACCTTTCATCCCAACAACTTGACTTCACAATGTTATATGCTATATGAATATGAATTATTATTATTATTATTATTATTATTATTATTATTATTATTATTATTATTATTATTATTAATTATGTGAAGTGTAGTGACGTGAAACTGAGGGAAACGAGTTTGTAAGAAAGACATTACAGCTCAGTGTATCGAAGTGCAGTGAAGTGAAGCATGGTGAAGTGGAGTGCTATGAAAGATTGCACGGTGAAATGTTCATGTTAATTTGTAAAGTTGTTAAATTCTGTAATGTTAACTTAGTGTATTCTGCCACCAAGTTCTCAAACGTAATTGCAGAATTATTAATAAATCTAATCTAATCTAAAAATGAAGTGAAATGATCATTCACACACTACTGATATAACAACAAAAAGTCAACTAACATACAATTTCAATTTAAGGAAAAACTCCGGATATATATGTAATTAGTAGTTTGTGTAGCTGTACTGACACTGATCAGTTTCCACAATCACATGTGCTTCATCCTGATGTCTCATACACTTATTTCTGTTTTGACAATAAATACAAAAAAATAAAAGATTAAGCAGGTTCAGGGAACACCAAATGATCATTTGTTATTTACCATATGGAGTAATCAGGTAAGTTATTAACAACACTGAAGAATCACACCAGTTGCCAAATTGTTAAGTTGACATGTGAATTATGCTTTCTCATTACTGAATTCTCTTTTTGACTCCTGCAAATACTGAGTGAAGAAAATCTTATGACACTGGTGTTGTTACCACTAGAGAATAGAATTTATTGTAAAAAACAAAACAAAAAGAGCAAAATATGTACTATTTTTTACAAAACATATACGAAAAAAATATATAATTATGTAAAATAAAAATTCATCATAGTGTTTAAAATTACTCTATATAAGAATTTTCTGATCACAGAGCATTGCCAATCAGGCCCTGAAATAAATTCTGAGAGTTTGGTTAAAGTTCTACTTCTTCGAAGTATTTGTTCACAAGTTTCACCACAGTTAAAAAGAGATTTATCCCAAGTGTAAAATATGTTTGCAGTACAAACTACAACACTCCTCATAACGAGGAGATGGAGCTGAAGTGAATAGTAGCACCATGCAACCAGTCATGGATCCCAGAGAGGAAAGAGAGAGATAGTGCTGTGTATGAGGGACACCCCATAATTGTGATAAAACAAATACTTGTAAAAATTATTTGTTACTTTTCGATCGAGTTAGATGTAGGCTATATGGAACATGAGCAAGTACAAGGCTGAAATAACTTCTGGTTCACAAACATCTGCTCATCCTTGATTCCGAATACATGCTTTCTATGAAGCATGGAGGAGTGCAAGTTTCACAATTCATGGAAAAGGTACGGTGGTCTTACAATAAACAGTACACACTGCTTTGGAAGAAAGAGGATACCAGAAACATATTACAAACTCGCATCTGAAATGTTCCATTTTGCTTCATAAATACATTAAAATGTAACAAAATACATTGCAATAAGTAAAACACACAAAATAAACAAATTATACCAAAATATTGTGTAAAGTAATAATTGTTGTAATTTGATCAGAATGTCTTGCTAATTATAGTGAGTACTTTTTTTTACTACCTTCTTATATTATTTTATTCAATACTTCTTCCAGGATGCTGTTAAAGAGAATTCAGGACTAAAACATTACATGTAGAGTGAGTGATTGCACATATTGTGAGAGTATTCTGTCATTAAGGACAATTTGAAAGAAACTAGGAGTTACAAAAAACAACAACAGAGGTTCATGGGTACTTATTAATGAAGCAAGTCTAACAACTGCCTTACCTCATTATTGATGTCAAATACTCCTTCTTGTATTTTTTCATAGATTTCTTTAGCTGTGTTAATGAATGCCTCTTCAACATTAGCTGCTGTCTTGGCAGAAGTTTCCATAAAAATTAAGCCATGTTCCCGAGCAAAAGCTTCTCCTTCTTCCTTTTTCACTTCTCGTCGTGTATCTAAGTCACTGGAGTGAAATAATTTTAAAACATGAGAACATACAGAGCATGTTTTTATTTTTTTAATCCCTCTTCAACCTGAGGTTGGGTTTTATTGATTTTTTTATGAAAACTTAATTTCAGTAGACAAAATTATTTATACCTCCATAAATTGCTCATATATAGTAACATCCACCTATAATATTATCAAAAAGAATACTTGCACATGTATATTCTGGATTTTAATACTCTCAGTTGTTTACAATAATTCAATCATTGTTCACTAGTTGACTCTGAACTTCCATTTCAAATAATATTCTGACAATGGTCATATTCACCCTTGCACCAGTTAGCATTGGTTGAAAAACTAAGGTTTTTTCCATATATTATATAAAATCAAATTAAGACGATGTTGTAGATCCATTGCATCCATTTGATTCAATGGAAATATATTCATAGTGACAATTTAAAAAAAACTAACAAATGTGTCCAATAAACTGTGAATAATAAATAGTAAAAACAAATTATGAAAGGAAAAAGAGGGATTCCTTTAATCTTTCAATTTTATGTGGCCTCAAGGCATTTCAAAGCACGAACTTCAGAATCCTGCATTACTGAGGCTGCAAGATATTAAGTAAGCATTTCAATTAGCATAATAAATAATGAAAATGCCTTACCAAAGAAAAATAAATAAATAAGCAATTTTCATAATTAGATATGTCTCCTAATTAACAAAACACATCTTCCACATCATACTTCACTCAAAACACATTATAAATGATTCCAAATATTAATAGATGAATTACAGATCTTGCAGATTTGGAGAAATACTATCTTAGCTTTTTGTCTCTTCATGAAAGTGTTGTAATATTATAATAAAATAAAACTTATATTATTTTCAGCTTAAAAAGTAATTCTTGCCTTTTGTTGCCTATAAGCATGATGACCATATTGGAGTTAGAATGCTGTCTAGCATCTTCAAGCCAAGTGGTCAAATGATTAAATGTATCTCTTCTGGTAATATCGTAAACCAGGAGAGCTCCTGCCGCACCGCGATAATAGGACCTTGTGATAGATCGAAAAGCTTCTTGACCAGCCTATGCAATGAACATTGCGTTATAAACAAATTTATCACCATAGGGAAGTGAAGTGATCATGAATGTACATTATTACTCACGGTATCCCAAATCTGAAGCTTTATTTGCTTTCCATCTATTGTAATCATTCGTGCTCCAAATTCCACACCTAAACAAAAGATTCATTTCAAGAAATCGATGGTAAGTCACAATAACACACAATTAATAAAAAATAAACAAAAAAACAACTTGCCTATAGTGAGGTCATGAACAGGTTGGAATCTCTTGTCTGTAAACTGTAGCAAAAGACATGATTTCCCCACTCCTAAAACAATACACAAGCATAGATTACCAATATATATCTAAACGATTTGTAGCATACCTATGCATTAGGAATTTTTTTCATGTCTTTAAAGTTATATAAGGAACATAAATTTGTTTTTGTATACAACTGAAAATTTGACAATTAATTTTTGTATTTCATTATGAAAGAATTGGGATTGAATTCTTAAACTTACACGAACTTCACGGCAGTCCTTAAATAGACTCCAAACATTAATAATCGATTAAAACAATGATAAGAAAATAGCTTGTAAAATCAATCTGCTACTTACGATTTATAAGAGTATACAAAAAAATTGTTTGGACAATTTCAATGCTAATACGTCACGCATAAAAAAAAACACGAAAATATGACTTTTCAGAAGGTTTAATGATAAAATTTGGGGTGTGGATTCACAACATGATATAAAATTTCTTAGAGGTAATTATCCTATATAACTTAATTTCACTGTGCTTCCAAACGCTACATCAGTGTACCCTTCACGGAATAGGTCGAAGTCTTTGTTTCAATGACTGATAAAAGCCCGTACCAAGAAATTATCGACAACAATATTGATAGAATATTCGACTTGCACGTACTCAGCCTACCTCATATTTTGCCACCGTTTCCTTACCTGTGTCACCTATAATTATATATTTAAACAAATACGCGTACGACATCTTTTTAACTCAAACAGACGGATATCACAACTCTTCAAGCTACTGTGCCCGTCAATCTTGTAACTCTACGTCACGAAGTAAATACGCCACAACTTTTACTCATGCCCATAATACCATAGCCAGTAACAAGTGAACGAGAAAATAACCCGCGCGACTACAAACAACAGTTCGAACGATACAAGTTCCATCTGCTATTTTGCTTCAGTGCGTGAATTTTACAAAACAAAAAAATTAATGTTCAAAGATTTTATTGAAATAATTTAAGAAAATATCACACAGTAATACTTATTGCTTGAAAGATAAAGTTGTCTTCGGACCCTAAAGTAATGGTTCATGAACGTATACGGAATATTATCTCTCACGCAAAGTAACATATAGATAACACATTATTGGTCACCTCTCTATTATCATGAATAATAATAATAATACTAATTTCCGCAGTAACGGTGCACGGTGCAGTGCGCCGATGCCACCCAATACCATAAAAGATATTCATTCTTACAAAAAACTCGAAATTAATGTTATGCTTGAGTCAAGTTCTTCCATATGCTGAGTACCAAGAGTACTACCATTCCTCATCTGACATGAGAAATTATGCCTTCTAAAAAACATGCTGGGGAATCAAATGCAAATACGGTGGGTGCCACCACCACCTCAACTGCAGCTCCCGCCGGGGCGACCCCCATAGCTGCTGCTGTAGCAGCAGAACCTACCACTGTAGTTCAAACAACTATTGCTGCTACCCCTGCAGGGCCTATGGCCGCTGCTGCGGCGGCCGTCGGTGCTGCACACTCAAAAAACGTGGTACATACACATGTTGAGAAAGATCCAGCAAGAAATGGTACTCCCATAGTAGTACCAAAAGATCCTTCTAGAAGTCCAACAAAAGATCCAGTAGATACATCAAAGTCAGTTAACAGACCTACAGTACTGGAGTCTCATGGTTACACTCTTGGACGGGCCATTGGTTCTGGGTCATATGCAACTGTAAAGGTAATTATGCTGTAATTTTTTTTTCTCTTGTAAAGAAGCTGAATATTAAGTGCTATGGATTAATGGGGGAAGTATTTCTCAATAAAGATAATACAAATGAACATGGCTAAATCATGTATTTTTTACAATTGCATCCAATGATGATCTGAAAGTATGCATGTTTCAGTGTAATGTTATGTTGTGAGCTTTATATTATTTTCCTGAAAGAAAAGTGCTAAAAATTGCTTTGAAACTCACCTATAAATATTAATAGAATCTAATGTATTAAATATTTTACCATTGGCAGGTGGCACAATCAACAAGACATCAAATGGAAGTTGCAGTAAAAATTGTCTCAAAATTTCAAGCTCCAGCAGATTACCTGAAAAAATTTTTACCCAGAGAAATTGAAGTAGTCAAAGGGCTCAGACATCCTAACTTAATACGATTTCTTCAAGCTATAGAAACAACTCATAGGTAAACATTAACAGGAAAAAAGTGGTTGAGAATGCTTTGATACTACATTTTATGCCATATATTTGTTTAAAATATATGTAAATACTCTTTTCATTTACATAATGGTTTTTATAGAGTGTATATCATTATGGAGTATGCAGAAAACGGCAGTCTATTAGACATAATACGCAGAGATGCATATATCGATGAACCTCGTGGAAGACACTGGTTTCGACAACTTATTGACAGTGTTGACTACTGTCATGAAAGAGGAGTTGTTCACAGGTAGGTTCTGACATTTGTTTGATAAAGGTAAAATATTATCTATACATGTTTGCATTATCCTTTGATTTTAGAGATATTAAGTGCGAAAATCTACTGATGGACAGTAACTACAATATAAAACTATCTGACTTTGGATTTGCACGAGGTCATATGCGTCCAAAAAATGGTGTAGCTCCTTTAAGTGAGACATTCTGTGGAAGTTATGCTTATGCTTCACCTGAAATTCTAAGAGGAGTTCCTTACCAACCACAATTATCTGACATATGGTCCATGGGTGTCGTTTTGTATGCAATTGTCTATGGACGATTGCCGTTTGATGATTCAAATTATAACAACCTTTTGAAGGTATTTATTTATGTTCATTTTTTAAATACAATTTTTCTGGAGAAATACCACACAAGTGATTGAAATTCTAAAATAATCTTACTTTCTTGATGTCGGAAACTCTTTTTTTCATTTCTTCCCGCTCTACATTATCAAATATTATTTACACTATTTTACAAAATAAGCTTTGTCCCACTTGTTCCAAATTAAAAGTTCTCTTTGTGATGGTTTGTTTATTCATTGAACAGTTGACAGGCACCGCAAAATGAAAACATAATGACTAACAAGTTAGGCACATAACAATGTTTGATTATTAGCAATTTTCTTCATTATTCCTCCAGGAAAATATCAACTGAAGTGTTTGACATAATTTTATCCATGCTAGATCACTGCTTCGTGGTGTATCTATAACAAAATCAGTAAAACACTTATTTGTGTTCGCTTCAGCAAGTGCAAAATAAAGTGACCTTCCCAAAAGAACCTCGAGTATCCGCTGCATGCAAGTCCCTCATTACACGTATCCTGGCTCCTGTGAGAAGTCGATTACGCATGAATGCCATTCGCAATGATCCTTGGATCCTTTCTTCTTCAAGTGATAACAGGCAATCTACACACGTATGTGGATTTTATCAATTTTTTTTCCTTCAGCCATTAGGTTTGAACTCTACTATAAGAGTGCCACCATAAGAATCATAGTAAGTAGGTATAACTCTTTATTGGTACAAAAATTTAAAACCAATTCAAAGCCACTATAACACACAGTGGCCCAATATGTTCCCTTTAATGTTCCACACCTACACAACAGTTAATGCTTAACATGATACAGGAGAGAGACATATTTTGGGAAAGATATGAATAACGAACAGTATAGATGATCTCATTAACATTTAAGTTAATTTTTGGTTCTAAGCAAACTATTGGCAAAGTTAAACAGTTTCACACTTGGATCAGTTGGTATAGTAAGCACCCTTCAACTGTAAACAAATAAGATTCCACATAATGTGAGTTAACAATCATAACCAGAAAATCATGAACTATTTATGTAATGTTCAGATCCACTAAGTATGATATTTGACAATTTCCCTCAACTGGGTGCCCAGGATGGCTGCCCTGTCTGTTAGATATCTAAGTGTTTTTCCAATAACTTTTAAACGAAGACCAAATATTTCTATACTAATTCACTGAAAATTCATTGTCTACAAGAAATGTAGTTAGATAAAGTTCCAGGGACAAAAATTAATCACTAATAATATCTTGGACCAAAAGAAATGTAATGTAGAAGAAGGATTTACCATTTCCTCAGGAACGAAAATTTCTTGAATTTAATTTTTTTTCTTGATCCATCAGGCAGCACCAAGAACAATATGAATAAAGGTGTATTTAACCCACAAAAATACTTAACACATAAAATAACTATAAAAATAAAGTTTGGAGAAGTCTCGATTGGATATGATCTTTATTTTAAATTAAGGTCAGAAACCAATTAAAATCATTTTTTTCTTGTTGCAATAAAAAGTATTCAAGATTTCAAGTGGAAAATAAAAGCAGTTATGACGCACAATTGAAAGAAATATCTGGTTATGATGATTTCACATCTGACCTCCCATACTCTTCTTACACAACTTACAGCTCATATTTCAAAAGTAATAGTTATTTATGCTCAAGAGCATTACAAGAGTTCTCATTATCCTAGGTGACAAAAAGCCCAAGATCACTCTGATGCCCAAGTGATCATAATCATTGAATCCTGTAGTACAAACATGATTTTATTTTTACCTACTTTTAATGATTCAGATTTATTTATTCATTATCTAAATGTTAACTTGACTCAGTTTGTAAATCTTAATTTTCATATTTTTCTTCGTAAGAGATCATATAGCATCATTCCACTGTTTTCATATTTCCCTTGGAACCACATTCCTCTCGATTCAGGTAAGTTATGTAGTTTATATCAAGCTCCATATGGAAGACTATAACGTATCGGTAAAATATAAAATATTTATCGATTCTTGAAAATCAGTGAATATTCTTTTCAGTAAAATTGTTGGATAACTGTTTACTTATACAAAGTGAGGCTGATCAATGTTAATGAAAGCTGCATAATTTCTAAGAGCCTTGAATAAAAATGAATTAAATTAAGTGCATAAAATTATGAATTAATAAAATAAAAACACATGACTGGAAAAATCTAGTAATTTTAATTTGAGATGTTTGAACTTGATAAACCATATGAAGCCAGTAAAAAGAAAAGGAAGTTCAAATTCATTTCTAGGAACCATGGAGGATGACTTCAAAAAGAAATGAAAATAAACAGTTTTGTGAATCATTTTCACAAATTGTTACACAATTTAGCATATTTTGGTTAACTTAAGTGTGTTTCATAGTAGACACAAAGGTAAAATAATCAAACAAAACCCATTCAAAGAAACATTAAAAAAGTTAAGAAATGGCAGTTTGGCTTCAGATTTTACTTGGCACAAAGGAAAATACGACAAGTATAACACTTCATCTTTCTAATATGCATCCTTTTACTTCAACAACATCTTCAATTAATCTTCATGAGAAGTTTTAAACATTGACAGGAAATAGGATAATTCTGCCCTGTTTATTTTTAAATTTTTATACTATATTCTAAATTAATCACTTTACAGAGTCATTGCTTCTTAGAAATCCTTCATCATAAAACAATTTGGAGTTGAAGGAAGTGAAATTTCACAGTGAATTCACATTAAATTTTCTAGTCTACCTTGGTTGGTTAAAATACCATTTAGACACTTGAAAGGGCATATCTGGAATTAAGGATGTGTTCTTCTAAATCAATTTCAATGTATTTTCAGTTAAATAAAATCACTGTGTAGGTAAAAAGGGTCGCTCAATTAATTTATCAGCAAATATTAATTTATCAGTTATATTAACTCATTTATGATGTTTCTTCCTTGAAAGGATTTAACAACTTCAATTATTGCAGAATGTAATTACAAATTTTGCACATATATAGAAAATTAATAGAAAGCAAGCCCAATTTTTATACTCTCTGATAATCTGTATTTTTAATGAGAACATCTTCACATACTTCGTTTGATTTTACCACATATACCCAACAGGATCACGTTACTTCACAGCCTGAAACTCGAGAACGTGCAGCATCCGAATCTTCACAACCTAAAACTGTACCACTGGTTACAAAGGAAGCACTAAAAGCCCAGGTTATCAAACCACCTGGACATGATGCTACATTTGATGGGGAGGAACCTCTGCAAACCCACCGATCTCCAAGCAATGCTTCTGTACACAATGCTGGCCCCTCTCCAAAAAAGAAGTGACATAAGTATGCTGATTTGGTATACCCCTTTCAAGGATGAAATCACTTTACAAAAAATAGGTAAGAAAGGGTTCACAGAATTGTGTGTTGTGAAAAAATTACACATATGATTCTCTAGAACTATTATCATTGATTTAAGTAAAGAACACTTGGTAAGTGAGAAAAACTATATTTGACATTTCACTCGTCTCTCTGAACGAGAATAATTTTTATAGTTGTTACACTGGTTTTCTTTACTTAATAGCCATATACTAGGTATATGATACATGCATATATACATAATGTGCACATGGCATATTTATATATACATAAGGAATAGAGCATTACAATGCTTTCTTCCACACTAAACAAAGTATAGTCAGCCTATTCACAAATGGCAGTTGGACAACTAAGACAAAACAAAAGGAGTGAAATAAATTTTCATTCCAGAGAATGCACTGGATAAAATGTTAAAATTATCTCTGATCTTTTGTATCTCAATATGAAAGTCTCAGTCATAATAATGAGTTAATTATTTTTGTTACAATAATGGCAGTTCAAGTGCAGATTGCAACTCTTCGTATCCAGGAGCTTCCCTGCTAATAGCCAAAGTAATGCCTGAACAATATGATGCAGGAATGGCAACATGCTGAGTTATTACTCTGCCTTGAGTCTGGATGCGCGAGCACATGGATTCCCTGATTACGTTCACCACTTGACCTAGAAAATAAAAATTCACAGCATATCAATTTCTGCATTTTTATTCAACAAACTCCCTTTTGAATAAAATACATTGGGATCTATTTTCATATATGAGAAAGGTCAGACAAATAACATTTGTTTTTCCCACAATTTGCTATTTCCTTATATCCCCCAAATAAGATTTTCAAAGAAATCAGAAGAATCACAACTATAATATTATTAAGAAATGTTGACCAATTAATTACAGGAATGTACATAAATGGCACAATACAACTTTGTACTACCCCAAGATTAATTATCAAAAATAAATTAACAATAAAAAAGCACATGAATAAACGTTATCAAATATTCATACGTATAACAGCATTTGTATCTATGCATTTCACAAGAAACAAAAAATTAAAAACCAATAGACTAAGTTTTATGAAGGTAAATCCCACAGTAACATTGTATCCATTGGCCCAATATATGTAGTACTAACCTAACACATTCATTTTCTTCCATCTGTTATCTGGATGAGACATTAGCAACCTCAAATTTGTATGCTCATTCCACCTCGAAAGCACATCATTTCGTTTAACAAGCAAAACAGATGGGCTGCATAACTGTGGCCATAACGCAGCTTCACTCACACATTCAACAGGATTTGTCAAATAAATCCCACGAGGTCCTACACCAAACACCATTTGATGATGCCAAGCATCAGGCACTGTATTGCCAGGTCCAATTCCATTCTGCAGATTCAAAGTCGCAATAGGAATTGCACCTGTAAAAATATCATTTTAATTTACCTTGAATAAACAGTTTCGTTAATAAACAGGACTATGAGTAAGATTGTCATGTTTTAATGACTGAAACTAAAACAAAATACACAGAAATATACATACAAGCTACCCAAGAAACATCAATTAATGAACTGTATGGGCCAAATATTTACTCACCAAAGTACAACACAATGATAAAGAGAGATTAAAATTATTTCTCACTATTTCTCTTTCCAGTACAAAATTTGAAATAACAACAACAAATGAGTTAATATATAAATATTTTCTAATGATACAAGCTAATAATGCAAGAGAATGTTCTGTTTGAAAAAATCCAACAATGTTACATTATCATTTAAGAGCAATCTAAATAAAAAAAATTTCTAGAGCAGTTTTAAGAGCAATCTAAATAAAAAAAACACCTTTTTTTCCTATCTTCATGTACACAAAAAACATTCCTTATGCCTAAATATATTTGATTTTTTTTAGTAGCTCCAGTGGATGATAAAAATCATTTTAAATTATCTCCCTAACCACAATAAACAGTATCCATAATGCCTGTATAACAGTTAGTAGGAAAACAGACATACTTCAAACCAAGAGCAAATGCACACAAACCCAAGTTATTTTGTTATATTACAAATACTCTCCTTTCAATGCCAGTTAAATATATTACCAAAAAATGTAGCTTTAAATTAATATTTAGGTACTGAAAACACATTGAATAAGTTACTTTTACTTATTCATCACTAATTAAGGAGGGAAGAAATTCTTCATCTTACTTTTTGATAAATAATAGAGCATGTCAATTATTTCTAGTATTTTTGTTGTTGTTGTTGTTGTATAAATGATGCAATCATATCAAAAGAAAAGTGCTAACCTTTTTTCATCCAATATGCCAGCCAGCGTGTCAGAGAAACAACTCTGTCAGGAAACATATGAAAAAAACGAGCATACAAAGTTCCTTCAGAGGCTTGTTGCAGACCTCTTATGATATCAATATGTGTTGCTCCTGCTACAGATCGAGAAAATAAGTACTGAGGCAATGGTGCTGTGTCTGCTCTCAGCCTCGTACCTACACTCTCTTTCAATTTATCCAGTGAAAATGTAATATTTAATGCCAGCTGAAAAGAAAAATAAATTTCTTTAACTTCACATCTTTAAGAAGTTAAATGTGTTATCACTCTGAAAAAGATTGTGCTTTACCAAGACATTAATTACTGCTGTAGCTCCACATGCAGATGTGGAGATTTGTGTAACTTGTTTCACACATGCTTCCTGTTCAGACCAAATCATGACTCTTTCTACTGGTGATTTTACATCATCAGAATTGTCTTCAAATTTGCATTCCTGTAAAAATATACATTATTTTTTTGTTATGTTGTTCTGGTCAAAAATTTATATATAACATTTAAATAAACGTACTGTATTTTCATCAATTTCATTGAGTGAAGCTTGCTTGTCAAGGACAAGCCTTTTGGCCATTATACAGTGATAAAGTGCAGAATGGAGATTGTATGTCCTCATATCTAGAAGCCCTTCTGCTTGCATTTTTAAAGTACCCGAATTCCATAAAGCAAGTGTGTCACTCCAACACTGTTCTTCCCCTTCCCCACAGGGGGAACACAAATCACCACTGGAGCAATGGTGCCCCCATGCATCTCGATATGGCCAGCAATTAGCAGGAGTGCGGTGCAAAAGTGAATTTCCTACAGCACCTTCATTGCTGCAATTATTGGTGACTGACCATGATGATGATGGATCTTGATTTGTGCTACAAGATGCTTCAACTGATATGTTCTGCTCCTCAGGAGACAAAGGACTTGGAGATGGAGAAGCATTGTCAAGACTATTGTTGTTAGACCCTGCAGCTGCATTCAGATCATTTCTTGCTTCTTGTTTATTACAACTCTCGGGTTCAGGCTCTGGTAGAAGATTCTCTGAATGGTTAGAATATGCTGCTGCTTCTTCCTGAAGTTCCCCATGATCTGATTCTTCTTCTGAATCTTGATCACATGAAGGACCAGGATCAAAATCCATTTCTAAGAAGTCCATTTCAGGTGATGAGCTTCTACTTTGGCGACCACCATCCTCCCCTTCGAGCCTATTCCGCACAGCGTCAGCTGCCTCTGCTTGTTCTCCACCTGCCAACACATCTAACCTAAAAAATGAACTGGGTAAATCTGCCATCTGATCACCTTTATATGTATAAATACAACATTCATCAGCTGACAGCCCATCTTCTCCTTCATTCCCAGTGTCACTTGAACTGGAACTATTCCTCCTGAGATTCAGATCTTCTGGCTCATCTCTTTCAGCATAGTTTCCATAACTCCCAGTCGGAAGACTGTCTGTGCCATTACCTTTCATTGAACAGGGTCTTGACGATAATGGACACTTGTCCACAGCTGCATGACAGTTGACATTATTTCTTAATACGGAATCAACGTTCAGATCTTGATCTACACTGTTTGAACAATTTGAATTCAAACCATTATGTATAGTATTAATTGGCACATCATTATTAGGATTAGTTTTATCACCTCCTTCATCACATATCTTATTGACAACGTTATTGTTCACTTTTGCTGCTTCATCGTCGGAAATGTGAGCGATACCATTTGGTATATTACTCACTAAATGTCTCACTTTCGGACGAGCACCGCCCACTGCGATGCCGAAGTGTTTGCCACAGTCATTACACGCAGGATTGTTGGATATTCTTTCTGTAGCTTGATCAGTATTACTTCCACTGGCCTCACCATTCATGTCCACATCATTTACATTCATGTCTCATTTAAATAAGATGAAAGCGTCTCTTTATTTCGAAGACACTTCTCAATTAGAAGTTCGAATTACTTTAAGGTTAACCTAATTCACACACTCAAGTTTTTTAAACATCATGTCCAAAGATGCTTTTACATATTAACAATCACAATCAATTCGTCAAAACTGCTGTCGCAACACATCAACATTAATTTACTGTACTATTGTCACGCGAAACGTCACAGCTTGCATCAATACTAACAAAACACCCATGGCACACACATAGCCCATGTTGGGTGCGTTCAACACTCATCTTCAGGGCTAACAAGTTAATTTGTCAATACACAATTGTAGCGATTAATAATTAAGTATATTGTGCGGACTAAAATACTCTTAAGAAATTGTATTTATATTTTAAATTTTCTTTTGTTTTCTTAGTAAAATATTCGTTGACAATATACTTCAAAGTAGATACGCTTATATTATTTATCTCATTTAATTTATCAAAAAAAGGTACTGAAAAATGCAAAATATTTTCATATTATAAGAATGCAAGTAATGTCCCCCTGAATGTATTATATTTTTAAACCTGTCAAACAATGTATTCTCTATGAAGGAATTCCTGAGCGTATCCTGAGATGCCGCTCATTTCAAATCTGATGGAGTATGTGCCTGAATTTTGCACAATTTTTTTAATACAAGAAAAGTTTATTACAAATAAGATATCGTATTCGAAAATATGCGTTTTATTATTCCAAAAAGTTATAATAAAAGAATAAACTATTATTAAATTTATTGATTATGCAACAGAAACAATTTGAAAATATTCCAAATACAAACAAACTTTTGAAGAGGCAGATGTATTTCAATAATGTCAAGAAGAACGCAACGCTCCAGTCTAGTACAAGAGTTTTCAACCATTCGTGGCGTGCGAGCGTCAAGGGGCGGGCGGATTTGGCCCCTTGTGGCGCCGCTTGGGCGGCGGCGGCCGCGGCTGCAGGCGTAGGCGGCAGCTTGTTGAGTGGGGATCGATCGAGACAAGAGTGCCCGCTCTCGTGCTCAGGTGAGCGCGCTCGCGGGCAGCCACCTTCGCGCTATTCGTCGCACCCGACGCCTGTCCATCGTCTTCCGTTGCACTCGTCATTTCTGCCAGTAACTCATCCATGGCTCGATTGGACCGGGCCATAAGATTGATTGCTGGAAATATTAAATATAAATGAGTAAAGCTGTCAAATATAATCCTCATATTAAATTTAAGATGATCTGAACCAAAGAACGACAATTAGACATATAACTGAATAGAAATCACTGGTAACCAAAATAAAACATACAAATTCAGAAAACCTCCCTTCATTAATGTCTATTAGTACACAGCCATTGTCTATTTATTTACGCCAAAAACAGTTAAAACATGTATGTGACGTGTCATTGTCAGTGTCACATTTAGCGTAAAACAAGTGAGACAATTACATTTCTATACCTCCTTATCAAATTTTTAAGTTTTGAAATGTATTTTTGGGTGATTGTATCCACTCCACCATTTTTGGGGACATTTTTTTAATTTACACTATTTTAGTACATTATTGGTATTTTAGTTATTTTCGGCACATATTGATTTTTTTGCGCATTTCATGAGTTTCTATGGGGGATCGGATATACACTGGCTAGCTTTCAAGGATAGATTCAAAAACTGATTCACATTTTTTTTGTCTTGAATTCGTCCGTTACACCATCCAGTACACTTTGTACAATTTTCAATTTTTCAAACTTATTGGATCGTTTAATAATTTTCCAAAGATTTTATGCCACTGTTTTGTGTAATACCTTAATATGATTTCATAAGGTTTATAAAATGACTTGACGCGTTCTAAGTCCTTTATTTTATTATTATTCAGTCTTAAATTAGTCGTATAAATCTCCAAATACAATTTCCAATAATGTTGTTTCGAACGTGAAATTTAAATGAACGAAAATATAAAATACATTCAAAATGTGCAATTAACTTGCAATTTCGCCAAACATCTATCACTTTTTGCAAAAAATTAAAAAGCCATTCATATGTAAGCACAAAATATAATTTTAATTATGGAAAAACAGCTTATCAATAAGTTAGTGATTACGTACAGCACTATAAGAGTTGACTTTTAGAACTAAGTAAAACGTTTACATTTTTCATCTTTTATATTCCTAGTCAATAAAGTAATAATACTTGATAATAACTCTGATATCACAACAGTATATGAATAGACTAATGTGTCCTTTCTTTTATCAACCTTGCAATTTTTAAGTGTATCCATGCGCTTCCTATGTATATTTTTTTTACCAGGGATTTAACAGATTTACCGAGATAACATGTTTTATAAAGTGATTCAATAGTCCCCCTTTCAAAATATTTCAGCACCCCTCCCTGGCCCCACTGGGCGCACACCTATGGCCAAGGCCGAATGGAACGTACAGATAGACATTTTAGAAAGACATATATGAAGCAAGAATGTTTTGCCTATACCTTTCTTCTCATCCTATTTTATTTCATCGTACGTATTACATATTATTTAACAAGAATACACCATATTACAAATTACGGTTATTCAATACTTAAGAGTATTTCGGCAATCGTACAAGATTTTGAAGGAGGATATAATGTTCTCTTACTCTACAGGCCAAGAGGACACATCCTCGATTTTTTTCAACAATATTTTTGTTAAAAAACTACCCCTATACCTCGCCTTTCTCGAATCTCTACCGCGCGTGCACTATATACGGGGCTTAGTTAAATTTGTTGAGCTTGCAACAGGGTGTAGGTTAAAGAATTGAAATGAATTTGTTTTATAAGTTTAAAAAGACATGTCTTATTACTTTTAACACCATTAAATCACTCATCCTGTGAGTAGGATTTCAAATTTATTTTCCAAAACCAAGTTCATTGGATAGTCATTCAAATGATTGTTCATTCTTTCTTCTGATTGTCTATAAGACGCCTGTCTATTCCAATTAATGGAAGACTAACTCTCATGATTAAGGGAATATAATTTATTTACTTCATCTCGCAATGAACCTTCACTGGTGAATTAACAGCACATTATTAGCTCGATTTATAATTTAAATTATATTTCGTAGAACTTTTTGGTTATTAAGAAAGGAAGAGGCGAAAGAGAAAAAGGCACTCGAAGGTTAACGACAAGGCATTGACCATATCTTAAATTTGGACAATTAAGTTTAACTGTGGTCAACGTTTTTTGCTTTGTGTAGAATGAAAAAGATAATAATGGTCAGAATGGAACATTATAATTGAGATACTACTGATTGGATATGAAGATAATGTCAGGAATGTGATAATGCAAGTAAGTGATACAATCTATTTTTAGTAGGAGCTCTTACAAAAATCTTACTATGTGTACTATTGAATGCGGTGTCGAAAATGAGATAAGATGTGATAAAGAAGGATATCTTTTCAAATATTTGCGTAAATTAATCGAACAACACTGATTTCAAAAGGTAAAAATTAATGGAATAAATTTACGAATTGTACCAGTAGCTAATTTCTTAAAAAAATCATACATTTTTTGGATTACGTAAATATTAATTTTATTCTCTTTCCGATTCCTGATTCGCATTATCGGAAGCGAAGCGTGCTTGAAATATTTACTTACTACAAAAACAATTAAGATTGAAACTTATCTCTCATCAATTGGGGGAATATATACTATAGTATTCAAGATTTTCTCAAAGCAGATGGAAACTTTTTCTTGAAACTTTTTGTGCGGATAAAATACAATGTGCACTTCTTGTGCACATCATATGGCATAAGCTCTATTTTAAATTTTTAAAAAATTGAATTTTTAAAACTTACACAACTGTTTTTCAACGTCTCAAGCTAATTAATCACATGAAAAGTGTATTTCATGGTTTAATATATTTAAAGTCACCAAAGCTTCAAATGTACTCGAATAAATTTTCGGAAAGTCGTATAAGTTTCGAGTAAGAAGAAAACAAAACCAAAAAGCTACAAACTTTCTCGTACTAGTTAATTTTCTTATTTCTTTGGTCTGGGTCAGCTTTACAGTCTTGCCCCACCCTCTTGCCAGCTGCTAGTATCTATCGCCTTTCAAAGGACACTTATTAAACATTTTCTCAATTTTTCGGTTTTCTGAGGGAAGAACCGACATATTTCTTAAAGAATATTATAAAAGAGTAAAACCTCGTCCTATAGAGCAATTTTCGATGAAAAATTTGGCGTCGTTTTTAAGAAAATGGCGCTCAAGCGTCACTGTGAATGAGAAATTTAATGCTCTTTTTTCACAAAAAACTTGTTTTCGTAAAACTTCATTTCAAGTAATTTGAATCACTTTAAACTTACAAATGCAATATGTTTTCAAGTTGCTGAAAATGCGCATATTAACGGAGTGAGAAAATCTTCAACAATATTACATTTGTGCCATTCACACAAAATACTTGAGTTTTCGAAAAACTTAATGTGATATTATTTAAAGCACATCTACTCATAAATATAATAATGTGAAAAAATCGCTGCTAATGTAAATATTAACAAAGTGAGAGACGGCAAATTCTTTTTTAATTTTTAGAAAAACAAAATACAGCAAAAGGTTGTTTATATCGTCGCATGGAGTACATTTAGAATCTCTACCAAAAGTATAAGAAACAAATTGGAGCCACTTTTTAAAAAAATTGAAAATGTCCAAGGGGCATTCAGATTCATATCACCAAAAAACTAGTGGTGGTACAGAATGACACACACTTTCTCGTACCAGTTAGTTTTCTAATTTCTTTGGTCTGGTCTAGCTTTTCGGTCTTGCGACGTACTCTTGCCAGCTGCCTTCTATCGCCGCTCGAACTACATTTTTTGAAATTTTTTGAATTCTTCGGTGTTCTAACAGTCGAACCCAAATATTACTTTCAGAATATTAACGAAGAGTAAAACCTCGTCCATAATTTTCATTGAAAGATTTGTAAACGATCAAGTGTTACTGTGTGTGTGTGTGTGTGTGTGTGTTACACAGTTAACGATCTGTTAACGATTTGTTAACGATCAAGTGTTACTTACAGGTAACATAGTAACAGGCCAGACGTTTTGAAAGGAAACAACGCGTTTCGGCGTCAGAGGACACCAAAACGTGAATTCCCGTTGAAATCTTAAAATCGATTTTCCGCAGTATTACATAACTTTATCTATACTACGTATATTACTCCGTATACGTACGTAATATACGAAAAGGCAATACACTACGTACGATCCAATTATACGTACGTATACGAGAATGTAAAAAGCGCTTATTCAAAAACATCAAGCGAAATTTTCTCAGAAACTTGTTCGTTTATTTTCTCAAAAACGACTAAAAAAAGTTTTGCTCTTCTACAATATTCTGAAAGTTACTTATGAACCATAGTATTAAGGGTTCCGAAATATGAAGAAAACAGGAAAAACGTGTTTTTTTTATCAAACACAGCGAAGAAAATACAAGGAGAGTCGTTTCAAATCGTATTTTGTGTCCTCGTGAACAAAAATGAATTTGGTATATTTTCGTTGTGTTTGTTATGAGCTATATCGTTTTGTATATGCAAATGAATTCTATTCTTGCAAAATATAAAGCTTTAAAACTTGTGCTTGTTTAAAATCGTATTACGTTCTCGGTCAAGTGCGTCTGACAACCTCATTACAGCCAGCGTGAGAAGAGCGTTCCCTTATCCAGTTAACTTCGTTTATTTGCTTATGACCCTTTACTTGTACAATAATTTGCAGCCTATTTTTGAATTTTGAAATGTGTTTTTGGATAATTGTAAGAGAGATTGACTCAAACCTGGTCGCATTTTTTGGAGTTATTTCGTACATTTTTCGACATTTTTAGCTGATTTTGGAGATTTTGTATTTCTGGCTGCAGTTTTAGGTTTTTTAATGTGGGGTTTGAGACTGTAAAGGAGAGATCCAAATGTTTCTGTGGTCCTGAATTTGCCCGTTACACAGTGGGTGTACAGTGTACCACAATTTCTATTTTTTCAAACGTTTTTGAAAAACCTAAGAAATTTCCAAATCTTTCGTTTTACATATTTTATTTAATACATTTAATATGGTTTCTTAAAGTTAATAAATAAAATACGCCATAAATAAACATAAAAAATAATTTTAGTTATTGGAAAATAGAAAGTCACAGAGTTACTAACTACAGCATTACACTTGGCTTTTACAAGTAAATAAAAGGCTAAAATTTGCCTTATTTCATCTGGGCAAGAAAGCAATCATACTCAAACATGAAGATACGGGTTAACGGATAGACT